GGTGAAACCTGGGAAACTCCAGGCAAGGGCAGCATACTTTCATTACTAAATGAACAAAGTGGTCCTCTCTTTCTGATCAGACACGTGGCAGATCTTCTGCTTCTGCTTTGTTCATATTTAACAAAATTAAAATCCAGACATGAGTGGACACATTCGTTTTTGATGCTCTCACTAACTAACACAGCCAGTCCCTCAGCACGTTTGTGCTCTCTACTCATATCGCCTTCATATTAAATCATGTTTTACTTTTTCAAGAACTTATTTTAACATTGTACCGAACAACAAACAAATCCTCCCAAACAAAAAAGTCACTTCAAAGGCCAAATTGCATTATATTTCTTCATGTCTGTATAGGTGCCATGTATGAGACGGTTTTATGTGTGACCACAGAGAGCAGCAACAAACTGATGTAAAAGAGCGTGACAGCGTGGGCTGGGTTTATTCTGTCCTCTGTAATGTTTTCAGTTCAGGTCCAATAACATCTAAGAAAAGAGGATCTCATTTATATTTGAGGACTTCAGGTAGCTGATGTTTTATATCAGCACAGATTCGTGTGACTCTAAACTCTGAGTGAACTGATGCAGAGTTCAGGTTTACACTCACAGCATGTTCATGTTTCTGTCTCTGTGTCCTCAGTTTCCCAGCATGCCTCGGCTCTGGAGGTGTATGAGGGGGTGGAGTCTGTCCTGCTGACCTGCAAGGACACTTCTGTACCTTTTGACCCCACTCTGATGTGGACTCGCCACGACCTCGATCCTCCAATCGTCCACGAGTGTAATGATGCAGGAGATGAACTGACAGATCAAAACCAGCGTTACAGGAGACGAACGTCCATGAAGACGGACTCTCTGAGGACCGGAGACTTCAGCCTCACTCTGAGGAACCCCATCATCTCTGACAGCGGCACCTACACCTGCACCATCACTGCATTTGGAAATGAACGGACACTGACAGCAGTAGAGCTGCAGGTCAAAGGTCAGCAACACACCCAAAAACCCGCTGAGACTACGAGAGGTCAGAGGTTATCACACTAAAAGGCTGCTCCAGGAACAAGAACAATGCACATGCATATGTTTGAACAAACAGCTGCGCTTTCAGATGCTGAGAACAAAGAATGTTCAGTCTGATCAGCTGCTGTTTAATCTACAGAACTGAGAGACTCATAAATGTGCCCACACACTCCTGAAAACTAACTCAGGAGGTCCACTCAGCCTTCAGGTGTGAACAGCAGTGAAAGGTCTGACCTACAGAGAGGCACTAAAGACAGCAGCTCACCCACAGGAAACACAGGATTATCAGCCTTTAACACTTTAAACCAGCAGCTCTGATCAGGGCTGTCCTGAAGTTTTGTTTTCTAGTTGTGCCAGGGATTCTATTCTATTCTATTCTATTCTATTCTATTCTATTCTATTCTATTCTATTCTATTCTATTCTCTGAGATTATTGCTGCCTGAGTTGTTGTTGGTGTATCTGCAGGTCTCAGACTTAAGACTTCCAGATTCAGAATAAACAACATGATTTAAAGTGAATAATCAGATATTTAATAACCAAAAACAACTGGAGTCATGATTAATGCAGCATTACCTTGTGACTCTTACACAGACACAATCTTGTAGAACTAGTTTCTAATCTCAGGTGGTCACGTGACCTACAGGTCACACAGACAGCTGATTCATGTGTGTGTCTCTGCGTCCTCACAGTGTCCCACCAAGTCTTCACCCTGGAGGTGTACGATGGGGCGGAGTCAGCCCTGCTGCCCTGTCACATCCCGTTTGTATCTGGACCCTCCACAGTGGTGTGGAGCCGCTACGACCTCAATCCTCCAACCGTCCACCAGCGTCAGCAGGAAGAGGACGAGCGGACAGATCAAACCAGCGTTACAGAGACCGAACATCCATGAAGACTGACGCTCTGCAGACTGGAGACTTCAGCCTCACTCTGAGGAAACCCCACATCTTTGACAGCGGCAACTACACCTGCACCATCAGAGTGAGGGGAGAAGAACCCAGACTGACAGATGTTCAGCTGCAGGTCAAAGGTCAGCAGCACACTCGAAAACTTAACTATATTATTTTTTATCATATTAGTTTGTCCAACATTAAAAGTAATATTTTCATTTGACAAGTAACTTTGTAAAATAGAAAAGCTCTTAATTTATACCAAAGATTCAACTCCTTGCTTGGATTCCACGTTTAATCCACACCATTATTGTATTATTATGTGTATTAATATTACACGTGCACAGTTATTATGATAAACGTTCCCATCCATCCAGCACTGACAGTGACACTGACCTGTGGAAACCTCCTGAGGCCTTTTCTGCAGTCTGCTTGTTATACAAAGAACCTGCTGCCTAAATAAACTTAAACCAGCTCTCAGCCCACAGCGAGTGGGTGGCTCGATCACTTCATGCCTGCGATTTATACTGACCGATCAGCATGTGTCTGTTTATTAGCATAGCTCGTCCTCTGTTCAGTCTCATTATTCAGGATGAGACATGATCTGTCCTCCCAGTTCCTGTCAGTACTCCGAGTTCTGGATCAACTGATAATATTTTCATGTTTCTAATTTTAGAGAAAGTGACCAGAAAGAAAGCAGTCATACATATTTGTTTAATATGTGTAATGAAGGAGATCATTTGTAACCTTCACCAAAGCTGTTTCTGTGCTGAGCTCTGAAACCTGACTGAAACTCTTCAAATAAACCTCTGCAGATGATCTGTTAGCTGTTTGACAACTACTCTTTCAAGGATTTTTGATATGAAAGGAAGGTTGAGATTGGCCTGTAATCAATCTCAAGAGTTGGCTTTTAAGTAAAGGTTTAACTACAGCCAGCTTGAAGGCCTGTTGTATGTAGCCGATGACTCCTGTAGACTTTGCTGTTTAACCTGATGAGCAGCAGACCTGTTGGAACTGGATTATTAACTTTGGATCAGAATAATCATGTAAACCTCGTTCTGTTGTTGGTCTCTTACAGAGCCGTACATCTTTCCTGCTGAGGCCTGGGTTCTCCTGGCTGTCATGATTATTGCTGCTACTGTGGCACTTGGAGTGTATTTATGGAAGTTACTGAAGAAAGGTATGCTGTGTGTCTGTGTGTGTTTCACCTGCATGTCCTTCTAGCCCAGTTAACAGTTTCTTACATTCCCACATTGGAACTGTCCACTACAACACAGTCTGCTCTGCAGGTGACTGAGCAGCTCCACTGAGATAGGTGAAGGAAACAAAATCTGTTTCCACATGCTGTCTGCATACGAAGTTTAACTAAATGAACAGAGTTTACACAGTGTTATAACAGAAAAGCTAAAGCACAAGACTCTAAGGGTCAAACATAAAGCCAGATATTAAATACACAAACACACACAAAAGAAAATGATTAGCAGGAAATAAAACCTCACATGTAATAGAATCACATGAATAAATATTATATGTATTATTGTATTTTAAGAACAGTTTTAAACAATGTCTATGATTCTGCAAGTGTTATCTTATCTGATCCAAATTGGCCTTCATGACAAAAGCTCACCTTTTAGGTTTAAGTCTCGCCCCACATGAGGATTTAAGTGTCATGGTCCCGGGTCAGTGATGCTGTATTTTGTGTTTGCCTGAACTGTTAGTTATTTCTAGAATGAGCTTTAAGACAATCTATTTTTTTTTTTGAGTCTGTTAAATCCAGATGGTTCCGAGTTTGCCTTGTACTAAGTTCCACGCTTAGTTAAAGCCAGTTCCTTTTCGTGTCCAGTGTCTTTCTCCCTCGCCCTCTTTCTCTCGGTGTGTCTCCCTCTCTTGCTGTCTGTCTTCATTCTTGTCTCCTTAATCTTTTCTCTGTCTCCTCTCTGTCTTCCTTCTGTGTAGTCAGTCTCATCTGTGCTTGTTTCTCATGTCTTCCTGTGTCAGGTCCGTCTGTTTCCTGTTTTATTGTGATAGTCACTCTTCCTGTGTGCATCGTGTTCAGTTTGTTTCCCGTCTCATCACTTATTTGATGATTATTTCCAGCAGCATTTCCCAGGCGTGTCCTCTCTCCCTTGCTGTTTATATTGTCTGTCTCCCACTGTTCTTTGTCATCTCTCCAGCTGTGTTAGGGTCCCAGCTGTTTGATGTTTACCAGTTAAGTTCCCAGTGCCTTCTTAGTTACGTTGTTATTCTGTAAATCCAGCTATGAAGCTAAAACTCCACTTCTGCTTCCAAGTCTTGCTGTTTGGGTCCATTCCTGCTAATAATTTTTATAATCAGTACCTAAAGCTGTGAAAAAAATGTGTGTTTTATCTAAAAACAGGATAAATATAGTGTTACAATGAATCATCTGTATACCCATATTATTAAACATTAGGCTTTATCTAATATAAAAATGTCAGACATCTCTAAGTTAATCAAGAAAACTGTTTATTTATTTATTAAATTTAACCTTTTTAAAATTTATTTTAAGTTCATTGCTTTTAGTTTGCTGCTGGATGGATGACTAACTGGTGTCTTGCTCCACCCAATCTGATGTGGAGTGTAGCAGAGCCATTTCTGTGCTGCTCGGGTGAAGGAAACTCAAATAAGAATAAACTCCAAAAGACTTTGTCAGCGAGAAAGTTGACAAACTACTAGGCTGATAATTATGAAAGCCTTTTGGAAAGAAAAGATGAGCTGGGCCACAGACTAACGTGTTGGAGTCCCACAATTTAACAGAAGGCAGAAATCAGCAAACTGCTGCCTCACTTTGTTCACTGTGGATTTTATTCCACGGTCTGCTCGTCTGCAGGAACAAACATGCGGCCTGAGCAAACAGGCAGCGTCTGAAGCATTTCCCTGCATCTCTCAGATAATAAGGATGTTATCATCTGTCAACATCCTCATGCTCTGCTTTAAGGCATCAACTCCAGCAGTGGAGAGTTTGTGATACAGTTAGAAGCACAAACTAATGTGGTTCATATTGAAGGGGGTTCTTTGTAGCCCCCAGGACCCTGGCACAGATACTGTAGCACCTTAAACACTGCAAGGCTAACAAAGCAACAACAGAGGGGGAAATGCTCAGCCACCAGGCAAAGGTATCAGCACCTCACACAGCAGCTACAGACCAACTCTGTGTGCATCCAGTTACCATGAGCCGCTCCACTGCAGGCTCTAAATATTCAAGCCAGTTTGGGTGTTTTAATACTTTGTTGGTATGTTTTTTTGTTGTTACTCTCTATGGTCATTTTATTAGGTACATTTTTAATGTCTCAGTGATAAAAATATTAAAACCAATCACATGACAGAGGCTCATCCCATTTAGGCATACAATACTGTGCAAAAGTCTTGAGCTTCACCTTATTTCTGTGCATTTTCCTTCCAAGGAGCCAGATGTGTTTCTGAAGGTCTTTCAGAGTTGTGGACATTTGCTTTTTACTCATTTTCAGTGCAGTAAAAAGCACATAAAAGGCAAGTCAGCAACAAATCAAAGTGATACATGTAGACACTTTACTAGTAGCCTGTTGAACTTCTTTAATTAAATATTAATTATTAGATTAATTAGTTATACAGGTAACTACCAAATAAATCCCAATCTGAGAGCATGGAATAGTATTTTTAACAAGGAGAATTTAAAGACTTGGATAAAAACTTAGAGTTTTTATCTTTTTACATTATGGAAAGGATGTGTTTTATTGGAATCTGAAATAAGACAAGAAAAGATTGACATATAAATCAAGTACACACAAACTAATAACTTAAACATTATTCCCCAGACTTTTACTATAAAGACCAGTAAAATGTCACCTTCACAAATTCACCCTGTGACACAATTAAAAGACCTGCTGCTTTATTACAAACCATTTAACCACTACTAGAATCCGTCTACCAGCTGACCTGTCAGGTGTGTATAAGAATACAGAAGTTTACAGTTACCCACTGTGTATTATGCAGTTACACACCACTCCCACTTTAAATAAGCATTAATTACTATTTATGCAGAACTTGCTTATTAACAATCCAGAGAACAACAAATTAGCGGTGCTGGCTCTACATTACAAATGTTCTAAACAACAGACTCATAGAAAATCCTCAGCATTTTCTGGCAGATGTTGAAGGACCTCAGTTGCCTCAAAAAATAGAGACGACTCTGGCCCTTCCTGTAAAGTGCTGTGGTGTTTTTAGCCCAGTCCAGTTTATTGTCAATGTGTACTCCAAGGTATTTATAGTCCTCCACAATGTCAACACTGACCCCCTGGATTGAAACAGGGGTCAAGTGTTTCCTGGTCTTCCTGAAGTCCACGATCAGTTCCTTGGTCTTTGCCACGTTGAGCTGCAGATGATTCTGTTCACACCACGTGACAAAGGAGTCAACCACAGCCCGGTACTCTGTCTCATCATCCCTGCTGATGCATCCAACCACTGCAGAGTCATCAGAAAACTTCTGAAGATGGAGGTCTCCGTGCAGTGGCTGAAGTCTGTGGTGTAGAGGGTGAAGAGGAAGGGGGAGAGGACAGTCCCCTGTGGTGCCCCTGTGTTGCTGATCACCTTGTCAGACACACACTGTGGGAGACGTACATATTGTGGTCTTCCTGTCAGGTAATCAACAATCCAGGACACCAGAGAAGCATCCACCTGCATCGCTGCTAACTTATCACCCAGGAGGGTCGGCCTGATGGTGTTGAAAGCACTGGAAAAGTCAAAAAACATGACCCTCACAGTGCTCGCCGGCTGGTCCAGATGGGTGTAGACACGATTGAGCAGGTAGATGATGGCGTCCTCAGTTCCGAGACGAGGCTGATAAGCGAACTGAAGGGGATCCAGATGTGGTCTGACAATGGGTCACAGCTGGTCCAGGATGAGCCTTTCCAGGGTCTTCATGATGTGGGAGGTCAGTGCCACGGGCCTGTAATCCTGGGGGCCACTGGGACGAGGCGTCTTTGGTACAGGGACGAGGCATGATGTCTTCCACATCACCGGGACCCTCTGCAGACTCAGACTCAGCATAAACAGTTTATGAAAGACTCCACACAGCTGGGGGGCACAGGCCTTGAGGACAAGGGGACTCACTCCGTCTGGTCCAGCAGACTTGCCTGAGTGAAGTCTCCTCATTTGCATCTCAACCTGGTATTGAGTGAAGGTGATGGGTGGGGGAGGGGTGTCAGGAATCTCACAGGAGGCAACATGTGAAGAGAGAGGCTGGCACAGTGGTGTGGCTCTGGATTCCAGGCTGACTGCAGGTGAGGTTGTGGGGTGGGAGCAGACACTGTGGTGTGGAATCTATTGAAAAACAGATTCAACTCGTCGGCTCTATTCTCACCTCCCTCAGTTCCCCTGCTGTTGGTTGGCCTGAATCCAGTGATGGTCTTCATGCCCCTCCACACCTCTCTCATGCTGTTCTGCTGGAGTTTCCACTCCAGCTTCCTCCTGTAATTGTCCTTAGCCTCTCTGATCTTGTCCTTTAGTAACACCTGGACCTTCCTCACCTCCTCTTTGTTGCCCCCTCTGAAAGCCCTCTTCTTGTTGTTGAGGAGGGCTTTGATGTCCTTAGTCACCCACGGCTTGTTATTTGGGTAACAATGAACAGTCTGAGCTGGAACAATGGAGTCGGTGCAGAAAGTTATGTAGTCTGTGATACACTCAGTAAGCCCATTGATGTCCTCGGCGTGAGGCTCACAGAGTGTTTCCCAGTCGGTCACCTCGAAACAGCCCTGTAGTTCCGCTATTGCCTCCTCTGACCACCTCCTAACAGTCCTGGTGGTCACAGGTTCCCTCCTCACAATTGGCACATAGCGGGGGGTGAGGTGAATCAGGTTATGATCTGACCTACCAAGTGGGGGGAGGGAGGAGGAGCTGTATGCATCCTTGACGTTAGCATACAGTAAGTCTAAAGTTTTCTCTCCCCTGGTGGGACAGTCCACATATTGTCTGAATGTTGGTAGTGTATTGTCCAGTGATACATGGTTGAAGTCACCCGAGATCACAATAAAGGCACTCGGGTGCTGAGTCTGTAGCCGAGCTATGGCAGAGTGGATAGTGTCACATGCAGCTGTGGGGTTAGCAGAGGGAGGAACATAAACAGCCACCAAGATGACGTGAGAGAATTCCCTGGGTAAATAATACGGCCTGAGTCCTACAGCACAT